AAATATTTTTTCATTATATGTGATAATATATTTTACATTGTTATTAGAAATACCTTTATCGCATGTGCGTTAATATATTGCGTATTACGCGTGTTAAACCGCAGAAGCAACCGACTATTGAACACAAATTATGTATGTGTGTGTATGTGTTCATGTATGTTGTTATGTATGTATATGTATATATACATATAAACGCGAACAAAAAATTGCAGAGGCAGTAGATTAAATTTCCGTGTAAAAGCGTACCTTGGTTCAATTACAGCGTAAAAATAGCCACGTCGCAATAATCAACAATATCGGTGAAGTATTAAAGCGCGACCGACGTGATAGACACTGGCTCTCTCGCGCGCGGGCGCGCGCGCGTTTTGCGCGACGGTGAATTGCAACGTAAATAATTAATCGTCACTATTTATCAACGTGGTAATGCATCGCGTGCGCATAAATTCGCAACGTATTATTAATCCCTTACGCGCGATGAAAATTTGCGCTTTTACAATCGATACACATATATAGGTGTGTATATATATATATACATATATGTATATATATACATATATATATATATATATATATATATATGTATATATATATACACACGGGGAACGTTTTATCAATCTCGCGAAATTAACAGTTCTATTCGTGACGCGTATCCGTTTTTCCATGGGAATTAATATCACGTCCGAGAGGAAATCGATTTCTCCGCAAAAGAGAGAGAGAGGACGGAAGAAGGGGAAGGACGTGGAGTACCTTCTTCGTGATTCGTCAAAGTGCTACGTCTCGTCTATCAATCTCGCTCGCCCTGCGTTTTCCGGCTCGTCAGCTTCGCGAATTTTCTCAGGCTGGGGACGGAGTGGGTAAAGAGAGGGGAGAAGTCCGAATGCGTCACTGCGCGTTTCTTGCGTGCGCGGCTGCAGGAGAATAGATTGACTGAAATTGACACCTACGCCGCACCGCGTGTCAATGTGAATTGACGACGACCGAATTGGATAATCGGTGGAAACGCGATCGCAGCCAGCGATTTGTCCCGGAGAGCGGTTATTCGACGTGCTCTTCGCGATTTCTCGTTCAAGCCGACGACGTCGCGTCTCGTGTCACTTTCGCCCTCACTCCGACTTCCCGCGCTTGATTCTTTAACGTGCGTTTTTTATCGAATTTTTTTTAAACTCCCGGTGTTACACGACTACGAACTTTTTACCTCTTCGCCGATGTTCGAAACTATGTAAGTTCTTTTTTTTTTTTTCACTGAGCTTATATATCGCAGAGTTTATTACAGTTACGGAATTTTTGTGTTCTAAAAAAGCAGGCGGTGCGCAGCAACAAAAAAAAACAACGGCGCGAAAATCCGCGAGATTGTCAGACGTAACGCCCGGGTACGAGTCGACAAAATGCGCGGAAAAATTCGCACGCGAAATGTTTACGGCGAGATGTGTGGTTTCGACCCGTCGTCCGGTAATATTCGTTGGAAATCCTTCACGTACAACGCCGCTATCTGGATTGGATGATGTATGAGGTAATTAATGGTTATTCCGCGCCTAATTGCCCGGGCGATTATGACTTTTCCGCGTCCACATCGTTGCCGCGCGCAACGAACAAACACGTGAAGGCGGTTTTAAATTCCACATTCTAAAATAAACTGCGAAATTAATTTGCGCCTATATTCGATTATAAATTTATATAAAAGACCCCGCACCACATGAAGCACAGAATAGAAAATAGGGTGTGGTTTTAACCGGATAAATTACTTTGGTAATTAATACGATAATATGATAACACACAAAATGTTTTGTCCTATTATTGTGTTTAAAATACTGTTGATCGAACATTTGGAAACTTCTAGACGTTAATGTAATTTTGATGAGTTTGAAATAGAAACGATATTAAAAGCATTTTATGTCTCGATTGTAAATAGGACGATGTTTACAAATTGAGGTTTGCAAAACGAAATTGTTTATTTGAGAAAAGTATCAAATATGTATTAGAGCACGAAATTAGTTTGGATGTGAAATAGCTATTTCTAGATATTTAGTTTACAAGAACGTTGATTGTAAAAATAATGCGAAAAATGACTGTTTTTATAATGATCTTTTTTATTGTTGTTGCAGGTGCGCGACGCGATTCTCTCGAGGATGATGATGACTTCGAGGATATGAACTTCGAGTTTGCGATGCCGAGTTTCTTTGCTGGTGCGTAGTAATATATTGTATTGACACAGCTATATATTTCCGATTATCGTAATATAGCGTCCTATTTTCCAATACAGTTCTGTTCTCTTTAGCCGTATTGCTGACTCTCACGGTAATGCATTTTCTAAAATTAAAATCGAATAAGTATATATACGTATTTTATATATCATATATATTTTATATATACATATTCAGGATAAGAGAAATAAGAGAAAAAAACAAAGCAGAAAAGAAGTAATGCTGCAGCAAAAAAGAACAAATCTCATGTTACTTCGTTATAACATTAACACTTTTTTTCCTCTTTTTCTTCCAACACACACGCACATAATTTCGTTCACATTTTCACCGCACGCGCTTTGTGCGAAATGTGACCACCTGCGCGAGTATTAATTTTATTCTTTCCGATATGAAAATAGCATTTGAATACCAAAATGCCAAATGAGAAATCGGAACGCCACTTTTTTTTTTCACGCCGAACGCGAGCGCGAAAATAAAAAATGAAAATCGTGTGTGGCCTGTGGAGTAACGTAACGGCCGTCAAATCGTACGCTAAATGCAGGCGTTAAATGCAAGCCGTTATTTTCATTAGCGCCCATGCGCGTTTCGGCAATTTCGCCAAATCCGCAAACACGTACACGATGTACATACGTATATACGGCGGTGCCGCGGCGAATGTTGGTCTCTGACAGGTGGCGGATCATAGAGGCGTGCGCAAATATCGCGCGCACGCATTGCGCGCGGAAATACACAACGCGCGCATCATACGCGATTGCATCGTCAGTCCCGGTGTTCCGTTTACATGCGGTCTGTCTGAGCGTAACTTCCGTCAGACACACACGCACAGGGACCGGGTTACGGTATTGTTTATGGTGTACCAATTATCACGTTCTCTCTATCATTCGCCTCTTCCTCGCCCTACATCACGTGGGCGAGAGTTCGCCCACGGTCAGACGCGCATCGTTCGCGAACCGAATTCGCGAGTCCAATCAAAACTTCGACAGGTACCGCTCAAAATTCGATCGACCTTCCCGCACGTCTGATATTTTAATTTCCAGCAGTTCTCTATTATGTTTCGCCACGCGCTCAAATAACTTTTCGCAATGTAATAAAAAAAGCTTGTGAATGTTTGTTGCATTGTTCGAATGTCGTTTTTTCGCTCTCAGTGAGTTAGCAGTGTAAACGCGCGGCGTTCGACATGTAAAAGCGTAAACCGGCATTTGTTTCTACATCAAACAATTCTCTATAAAAGTCTATTGTGCGTGAAAAAAAATTATGTGTATAAATAAATGCACGAACATGTAATGTAAAAAAAACACACGAGCGCACTTCATGCGCGATATGGACAAGCACAACTTTGCGGAGAATAAGTCGCTTGTGAATGAAAAAAAAAACAAAAAAAAACAAACAAAACAAACAAAATAACAAGCAATGAATTAAATAATTAATAAAACAATATGGAAAAATGTTTTTTTCATCGGCAAAAGGACGCGCGCGCGCGCGCGAGTATTCCCGTTCCCGTCGTAAACAATAATAATCGCGGCATCAAATACCCGCTTTATAACCGATAGAGAATCCGTGTTGCTGCGTCATGTGTGTATTCTGGGGATTATATCGCGCAGCTTTACGGAAGACAACTTCCGCTCTTCTACGCGCCCCAGGATGATCCACAATCTCCTGTAAGCCAGTTCGACCGCGAGATACGCACGCCGGTCATGTGCTCGATACGCATGTGTGTATTGCACTTACACCCGAACAATAATATCTCGGGGATAATGACTCGCTTGTGCGTGTGTTGACCGCGTGCCAGCAACACACGCCCGTCGCTCTGCGCGGTGTTGTGTGCAACAATTCGAGACTCTGGAAACCATTCGTGCCCGTAGGCCCTTCCGATCTGCCCGACACAATGTATCGCTATTTGGCCATCATCGATAAATGATCGCATTTAAGAGAATCCACGTACGCGGATCTCGGAACGTTATAACGTGATCGGAACGTGCGCGCGCGTTAACGAGACTTTCGCCGGAAATTTACTACGTCGTCGAATTTACGAGCGAGTTATAAAAATTAAAAGCACACGCCGCGGTATGTACATACCTGTATTTGTTTTGTCGCGCGCGAAATGTATAACATTTAAATTGCGACTTGAAGAACGAAATAATAGTCGGAGAAGCGGAATTAAACGGTTTTCGGTTGAAATGTTTGAAAAGTTTTTAGAGCGCGAGGGGATGTGAATATTTGTGTCGGTGCGGAGAGGACGATAAGATAGAATCGAATAAAGTTTTCCGGGTTGAGGTCACGGGTTAAAAAGAGAGGAAAAAAACTGCGCAACATTAAAGGTTTATTTTGTTTCCTCTTCCGGAAGAGTAAACACAAAATAGGACCAATAGAAAATTTTATTCCGACGACATGACGCCTTGACATTTCGGCAGTCACGCGCCGTAAAAATTCACGGTCCAAATTCCGCAGTTTCTCTCTCTCTCTCTCTCTCTTGCAATCGTCTGTACCATTACGTATCGAGTGTGCATTTGGAAAATTTGTTTATCTTGAAACGCGCGCGCGCGCACGCGATCGAGTCGAGCTGCCGACGAGTTACCCGCGCAAACAAAACAACGTCAAAAAAAGTCGTGTGTTTGGTGCGCGATGTATATTTTTGTGCCTTTTTTTTGCCAACCTACTATTTAATGAAATTCTCGTTAAATATTTTCACGCATTTTGCGACGCGAGTTTCATAAATATTTATAAAGTTCAAACAATGCGCCGAATGTGCTTTCGAATGAACGCGAAAGTTTACATGTGTGACGCGCGCGCGAGGCCTGAGAAATTTCGCGCGGCGATTTTCTGCGAGAAAATTACGGCTACTCGAACGCAATTTCCTTAACGCGTACATAAGTGCCACGTTTTCTTATCCCGCCGGAGTATCTCGGAGGGGGGAGGAGGGAGGTAACTATAAACCGGGGCACACGGTTACATCTATCGCACCGTTAACCGATATAATTATAGAATTAGCCGACGAGAAAGAATAACAGGTATATAGTTGCGGCGGTAACAGCAGCAGCGGCGGCATCCTAATGAAAGCAATTACCAGAAAATATCGTTCCAATTAGACCCGGGTTGTGATTAGCGACGCGTTGCGAAAAAGTTACAGATCTCGCTCGGGGGAGAGATATCTCTCGTGTAATAAAACTTTAAAAATTTCCATTTTCGCGTATACGATATAATACGATATATATATATATATATATCTATATAACAGATACAATACATAATGCTGATAGGTGTGTAATATTGATACGAATGACGGTTTGTTTTCGACGGAGCGTCGAAAATTCGGAGCGCCCGCCGACATTCAAAATATTAATCAATCCGGAACGCACGACGTACCTGGATAAAAATTTATGAAACTCGATATAACGCGCACACGAGAAATCGTATTAATTTGGAATTAAAATACGAGATACGCGCGCGCGTAACTCCCCGGCCGAATTTTCTTTCGTTTATATTCATCCTCTTTGAAATCCGTATTTATGTCCGTATATTGTATAAAATATATATACCTATATATATATATATATATATATATATGATATAATGTGTGTGTGTATGGGTGTGCGTATACGTGTGAAACGTGACTATCGCTTGGTGATTTTCGGAATCGGATCGAGAGACAATAACATACAATATTGTGTGTATCGGATTCGTATATCGAAGATAGAACATTGTATTGAGATAACATACATCGTCATCTGTGGCGGACAAGATTTAGAATCGTACGGGTTTTCCGAATCTCTTCTGACCATCCATCACCCGGTCGTATCGTGATTCTTGTGCATTATCAGGTCGCGGAATTCGGCGCGCGTGTCGTCGGTGACAAATATCGGCGTGCATGCACACAGCTTTTTTCTTGCGTGCGAGACGGTAAAAAAACACGCGCGCAACGACGACGACGACGACGACGAAGAAAGGGTGGTCCGATCGATCGGCTTGATTAACGGTGTTATCGCGTGGAATTCGTAACAAGGTGATTCCGACATCCGGCGTGCACACCGGTGAAAAGCTACGCGTGTCGCTCACAACAAAGAATAAAAAATCCGACGACGAGGAACACTGCCCGTGTGTTGATTCAATGGCCTTTCGAAGTAGCGCAGCGGGTAAAGGTCGGCGACGTTAATGCCAACAATAATCTCGCGACGGGAGATGAAGTAACGCGAACGGAGAAAAAAAGAGAGAAAGAGAGTGAGAGAAAGAGAGTGAGAGAGAGAGAGAGAGAGAAAGAGAGATCGCCGTGTGTACACGATCGCTATACGCGAGAGCCCGCATTTGCGTCAACAGCAGACCAAAATAGAAAAAACTATAAATTGCGCTGCGGATATTCTTCTGTTTTGTCGTTATTTTTTTTTTTTTTTTTTTTTTTTTTTTTTTTTTTTTTTTTTTTTTTTTTGTAAAAAGAGACATTCCGTGTGATATACATATATAAGAGCAAATAAGAATACGCGATATAAATAAAATATCGAAGTGAGTATTGGGAATGGCTCGGCAAGAGATAATGTCATTCGAAGTGTTCTCTGAGCGCGGCCGATCGTCCCTTTGTGCGACGGTCCGGCCTTTTGGATAGAAAGAAAAAGTCCTCTTCTCTATCTCGCCACTCTGAAATTTCGCTTGATATTGCAGCGCGCGGCGTGATTAAAGCGCGGCCGAAAATTAAATTTTTCAGGGAAAATTAACAGGTCGCGCAAGAGAATTAATTGGCGCGACTACTCGCGACCTCTGCTATTTTCAAAGAGCCATTCTCTCGTGCCGCCGGGATATTTTGCGAGAGATAGCGGCAATAGATGCGCGCGTAACGCACACACACGCACACACATCGGTACATATACACGCCGCAACCGCGCGCGCGTACATGGCAAATTAATAAATTAATGAATTGATAAATTGATAGATAAATTTGGCGATAATCCTGCGGGATGTAATTTATCGTTGGAATTTATTAGAGGTGAAGCCTCACGTAACGTATTTCACGATTTTTAATTATTTTCGGTGTATCATGCGAGCACGTCGATGTTGAATTTGTTCGGTTGAATTTTGTCGAGTTTCTTTCGAGTGCACTACAAATGTAAAATGTTGTAATTTTGATAAACCGAAACTAACCAAAACAAAAAAACAAAAAAAAAAAACAAAAAATATGTAAAATTAAAAAACTGCTGTTTCGCTCAACGCGGGAGGTTTCGTCGTTGAAAATAGACTCTCGAGCGAGACTCGCAAATCACAAAGGCTCTCCTCGTGGACGAGCTAGAGAAGATAAATTTGCGAACGTGGCGCGTGCATGCGATCTCTTACGTGTGTCTCACATATCAAATTCCACGGGGCGCTCGTGCAGAATGCGGTGCGCAACGAGTAGTTTCAGTAGTATGCCTATTTGCAAGTCGCGACACGCTCAAGTCCCCCCCCGCAACGTCGTCATGGCTTTGATTATATTGCTTTGCTCGATCGACCGAAGCGAGAGTGGATTCGACTGTGACGAGGCCACTTGCCGCTTATGGAGATACGCTAGAATCGAAAGGTCAAAAAATTCGAGCGCAATTTGTTCTCCTTGTGAATGACAAGAAAATTATATGTATATAAATAAATCGTAAGCGCGAAACTCTGCGTACAGAATTATCTCGCGTTTCGAGGGAAAACCTGACGCTGTCGTACAATACGCAGATTGGAAAGTAACGAAATATTGATTGTTTGTAAAGGTCGTAGCGAGAGATCGCGCGTTGCTTCAAGGTCTCGACACACGAGAACGCAAAGTTTATCAGATCACTTTCACCATTGAGAGGATTTTAATGGCGTCGCCCCGATCGTGAGGGGCGTGTTGCCAAAAGTACGAGATTAAAAGAGATAGAAAGAGAAAAAGAGGGACACAGAGAGAAGGTAATCGACCAAAACACACACCAACACACACACATACACACACACAAAATCTTTCTTCCTTTTCGAACTGTCAGCAATATAATACGTAACTCGATGGCTGGAAGCAGCACGAATGGGACGGCAATTTACAGTAATCGTTGATTGCGCGACTCGATGAATCGTTATTCAAATCCGTGCCGTGAGAGGCCGACGGACTGGAAATGGGCCCGCGAGACCGGAAGTTACTGCGAGCGCCTACGGATGCCAATTTCCCGATTATTTCACGAGCTGTTTATTATTTTAGCGACGCGAAATTTAATATCGACCGGCAATGGTTGACCGATTTTGCGTTTTCGAACTTCCGCTAAAAACTTCGAGCCGCATCGCCGTTAACGTCGATACTCATCAAATATAAAACTTTTTTTGGCGCGAGTTTTTTTGGAGATAGCATTTTTGACAATAGTTTTATTAAATTTATTGAAAAGGGAAGGAATTTATTTTGATGAATTTTTTATGCTCGTGTTTGCAAATTCTTTATTTATCCTTGAACCCAATGATAAACGAATAATTCCGAGATCTCGCGAATTGCGACACACGCGTCAACATTTAATTAAAATATTTTGTCACATCGAAATGTAATCGCGTGGAATGTTCTATACTTATTCGTGTTAAACATATGCGAAAATCTATCATCATCCAGTTTCGAAAACCAGTCGGCCTTCTGTCGAAACTCGCGACGGCATTTCGGTGACGAGTTTCTAGAGAACTTCGCCCACTTACGCTACGTACCGTTACGTCGCAAGGTGGCAAGTTATTACTCCGGTTTCACACGGAATTCATTAATAAAAAAATATTATTACTATATTTCCTTGAATATAATTAGAAGATAAATGGCGGATAAATAGAAGACGTCGAAAATAAATTACAAATCAAATTAGCCAAATTACATAACTCTCGACACGCGCGCGCATGCGACACATAAATCATCATAATTGGCATTATGAGATTTTATTCTCTATATTGACATATTACGGCGGTTAACGACCCGCGGCGATTTCGTTTTTGCAAAAATTGGCAAACGCGCGGATTTAAATTCAATGCCTTCATTTTACATCGTTATTAAATGAACATAAAGTTAAATCCGCCTTTTAACTCTCTCTTTCTCTCTCTCTTTTTCTCTTTCTTTCTCACTCTCTCGTATTCGTAAATCGAGAGCGCGGAATTTACATTTTTAAATGTTTTTATCCTAAATTACATAACATTCCCCAGATTTCGTGCAACAAAACTGCGTGTACTTGTTGCTCTGCGAGAGAGCGAGCCACTCTTGAAATCGATATATCGTAATTTTCTTCCCGTCGATTTCTGGCGCGCTCGATAAATCGCGCGCGCACGCCACGCTCTCGCTCCGCATATTCGACGCGCCGAATTTCAAAATAAACGTTTATGAACGGGCCGTTTTTAACAATAACCGGTCGTTTTGTCAGCTAATTAAAATTATCGCTTGTGAAGAGGAGACCGGTAACGCGCCAATTTCAGCGGCATATCCAATAGCTGTTTTCTCCCTCCCTTCCTTCCCCCCGCCTCGTCCTCGCTCATTTCTCGCGTATTGCACATTTTTCTATATGCAAACGAAGCTACCTCGTCGAATAATACGCTGACCGGGCGCGTCCTCATTGAGATTCCACATAGCAATAATCGGCCGATACAGTCGACTATTTTACTCCGGCAACCGCATTGTAAGCGTAATAAAATATGCAAAATTTATCGACACGATCGACGTCCTCTCCCCCAACTCTTTTTCTCTCTCTCTCTCTCTATAATGTATATATATATACATATATATATATGTACATATATATACACACGGCCCATCCGATCGCGACATCATAAATTATCATTACATTTTACGAAGTACTAGGTCGCGCGAGATCAAGCACCATTTTATTTATAACGACTACGTCGTCTTATCGGCGAACCGCGGGAATTGCATAACGACATGCGAGTTGGCGGACATATATAAGAGATATAAATAATCTTGTATATATACATAAACATTTATTCAAAAAAAATTTACATTATATAGAAAGAAAAAAAAATTGATTCGAAAGAAACAGTCGCGACGCTTTCGTTTGAAAAGAGAGGAAAAGAAAATTGCGAAGAATTCATTATTAGATGTGTGTAGAAAATTTAATAATACTAGCGCAACACACAGATGCGTGCTACGCGCACATTATTGTTTTTATTTTCACGTGTAGTATCAGTGAACGCAATTTCACCGCGATGACAGCCAGTATGTACGTACTTACAAATCATATAATACACATTAGAGAGATGTGATAAAATAACTCATGAAAATCAAAATAAAAAAAAAATAATAATAGTGAGAGGGAAGAGTGGAAAAATAACACGTGTGATTAAAGTCACGTGACTGTATTTTAGTCACGTATCATTAAAAACGTGACTAAAAACTAAAGTCACTTGTTGTTTTTCCACTTCTCCCTGTCACGTGTCTTTAAAAACGTGATGAAATTAAAGTCACGTGACAGAGAGAAGAGGAAAAACAATCGATAGAATCGATTGTGATTATTTACACATTGCTTTTTCTGGTAAGAAATTTTTTTACACACACAGAGAAAGAGAGAGAGAGAGAGAGGGAGAGAGAGAAAAAACGCAAAATTTTCCGCCGCCGTTCAAATGAGAGTATCAATCAATGCAGTCGCTTGAATCGTTTAAAGAAACAATTTTAGATCGCAGCGCAAACGCGCGGCCGAGTAAATGGTCCCTGTTTATTACGTTCGTTGCGCTTACTCTCGGAATGCGATTCTCTTGCGACGTGAACGCGGTTCTTTTCGCGAGATCTGAAAAGAGAGACACACGAGCGCATTACTATCCTCATTTGTTGTTTGATGCGTCGTTCGACTCTTGACTGTCGCGGTTCTCTCTCTCTCTGTCTCTCTCTCTCTCTTTCTCCCTTCCTCACTCTCGCTATCTCGCGAATACTTGTGTGCGCCGCGACCTGATTCACGCCGAATCGCAATAAAGCGCTATTGGGTCGTTAAAATGAAACGAAACGGTAACTAGGCGGAAACAACGGCGGAACAGTCGCTAAATTGTACGACGCGAAATACACAGTACGAAAGTCCCTGGCAATCGGGGGAGTGTAGCACTTCGTGCCGCATCAATACTACGCGCGCCGATCTTGTGCACAGCTGCATGTAATGTGATCTTTAACGTGAGGCAAAAGTGTAAAGAACTTATCAAGGAACTTGAAACGCCTGTCGAGTAAACACAAGTACCAGTTGAAATTCGCGCGAGACAACTCGTGCGACATAAGCCGTTGTTTCTTGCAAATTTGAGAACATTAATTATTGAATATAATGTGTCGCGAAAAGAAGATATATATATATATATATATATTTTTTTTTTCCACTCTTTTGTTATAGTTGACACAAATTTCATATCGGTAAAGTAAAAACTCGACTAAGATATATGATTAATTACCGGAACGTATAATTTTGTTCTGTGAGACGGTTATATATACGTACATGTGTGTATCGACCGATAGATAATTGAATTGACGCGAGACCGTTTGACGCAAACTTAATTTCTCCAATCTTTTTTTTCTTCAATATAAATATTATAAATCATCACACTCGCGCGCAGACTCCGAATGCAAACTCGTATACGCTTCATTTGTTGAAATCCAATTTTGTTGTCCACAAACGGGTGCGCTCCTAATAAGCACGTCATCTCCAAACACTTGACAAATATTTTTTTTTTTTTTTTGGTTTTTATTTAAACAGTCGTCAGAGGATTTAAATTTGTGCATTATCAAGCGCACTTTATCGGATCGTTTGTCGCTGACGTTTACAGATAAAATCAAGCGGGACAATTTAAAAATTACATGAAAACATAATTCACACCGGCATTACACACAGATGAGAAAAACGTGTGTCATCATGCATTATACAGTCGCGGGAGACAGAGATCTCTCTTTTTCATTTTTACCTTTTATTATTCTCTTTTCAGAGACTATGAACAAACTCAGACAAAACCTGCTGAATTATTTCTGGAACATGCCCGACGTCACAGACATTAAGATTCCTGAAGGCGCAAACACAACTTCCACCACTAAGGTGAGTAAATCCGAATTCGTAGATGTGATTTTCGGAATCAATTTCTTGTGCATGGTTTTCCAAATTCTCGGGCGTCTAAGTTAATCGGTGAAATTATCGCGTCGCTCGACCCGCTCTCTCCTCGTCCCTCCCGTTGTGTTCTAAAGCGCCAGATTTCGAGCCGTCAAAAGCGAGGGAATTAATTGATGACACCGGTCGCAAAAGAGAGATTGTGTGTGTGTGTGTGTGTGTGTGTATGCAAAGAAAATAACAAGCTGGCTCAGCCAGCTTCAACGCATTCGGAAAATAGAACCGCGAATCGAACAAATTCTGTGCCGACTTTTAAGTTTATAAAGATAGTAGCAGGCTTCTTCCGAAGTGGCTAGACAGCGACAAATTAACGACAAAGGAGCATTGAATTTACGTGTAAAGTTTTATTCGATCGCGCCGCGCTGAAGTGCCGAGGCTTAGTGCAACGTTAAAATAATTCCCGACGACACGCGAGGAAGCGCAGCGTCGCGCCGGACGCGTCGCGAGGATAATGCATCGTCGGCGATCCAAGTATACACGTGTATATACACTTATATGGGTGGATGGTGTGGAACACGACGACGGGACGGACGCGGAGGACGGCACGGGACAGTCTTAACAATGGGCAACCGGCAACGCCAAGTGCGCTGCGATGGCGCGCGATGTTGTACGTGTACGTGTACGTGTACGTGTGTGTATGTGTGTGTGTGTGTGTGTATATGTGTGATCGGATTACTGCATTTCCCGTTGCCGTATTGTTACACGCTCGGAATCTGCGCGACGCCATCGCTCTCTGATATGTAAGTCGCTTAGCGCGCTTAATGCGACTTGCCGCACACACAAAGCGCGAGCAACGGAAGCGGATAACTACTACCCGCGTCGCCGAAAAGTTCGTCGCGCCTCGCGAGAGCTTCGCGGACTCCCTTTTCTCGGACACCGCGTTCTGCATATGCAAAAGCGACCGTCGTTTTGCGAGAATATTCGCACGAGGCGAAGCGAGAGAGGAAGGAGATTGGTCTTTTCCGAGACTATCCACACGTGTCAGAGGAAACTTTTTTTTTTTTTTTTATCCTTCCGCGTTAATTTACAAAATGCTTTTGTCTGTGTGCGCAAAGAGCATTGAATTTTCTTAGATTATTGTTTTAAGTCTTTCTTTTTTACGTAAAACTCATAACAGTTTTTTTTTTTTCGGGATTTTAATAAAAATAACATAAACGCGAAATAAAAACGGTTATACAACGATAGGCGAAGAAGAAGACGTAAGTAAGATTAAAAAACGTGATTCGACGTTTTCCGCGGGAAAATATCGAAAACTTTCTTCGCGCTTTCACGACGCGTAGAAAGTTCACTAAATAGAGCGGGTTCGCATAATTCACGAGGCGTTATATCTCCTTGTTAACAGAGTAAACCGGTGCATTGTATCGTGCGCGGCGTCATGTGTCGAGCGTGAGCGAACTCACGCAGCGGTTGCAAGTTCTTAAATAATAGAGCTTAATTAATTTTGATGACGCGTTTGTCGGTTACGCAGCTGTAAAACGTTTAAGCAATCCATTTGCACGCCTGTCGAGCTCTTTCATGCGTGTGCATATATTATACAATCTGTGAGCGTATCGTTACAGAACGAATTAAATTGTTTGACGTTAAAAAAAAAAAAAAAAAAGTGACCAAATATTTATATCGTAAATCGATTCGTTTGCCTCGAGTCGAGTTTTTCTAACACATATATTTGAAGATCGGATAATTTGTTCTTTGAAATCGAATAAACGTACGATTATTTTTCCGATTATCTTGATTGCCGATTTGAGTCGCGCGTAAAATTCGTCTGATTGCAGATCATTAACGGACACGTGGTGACCATCAACGAGACGACGTACACATCGGGCGACGAGAACGGCGGCGCCGCATTCCGCATTCGCATTATCGACGTGAAGCCGCAGAACGACACCATGTCGATCGGCGGCGGCGGCGGCGACGTCGAGTCGATAACGACGAAATCGGAAACGACAGAGAGCGCCGAGACGATCGAGGAGTTCAACAACGAGATCCCGAAGAACACGGAGACGTTGACTGCTTAAAAAGTTAGCGCACGTTGTCCGAAAAAAACAAGCGATTTGGGAACATATATTTTGTAACATATATATAGTTGTGTTTTTGTTGTTGTTTCCTATCTCACTTCTCGATCGAACGATTGTTTACAACGTTTACCTGATGCGTCTCTCTCCGGAAAAATGTCGCTGGGAAAAATGTAAAAGCCGAGATATATATATATATAGAGTATACACGCGGAAAGATACACGGATACAAATATGAACGGGAAATCTTTAATAGATTTTAATTGTGTAAAATAATTTACGCTCTCTGTTTTAACTGCGAGATTTATTTTTTTTTTTTTTTATTCTGATGCTCTATATCGTTAAACGATTTAATTAATTTTGTATAAAAACTTCTAATTGATTTAAAATTCCTACACTAAGTCAAACGGCAATCAACAGAGTTTAAAGTTTAATTGCGTCTTTATATTTCAAAAGAATTTTAAACTTTGAAATGTAACTTAAAAGGATATATATATGTATGTACACACATACACATACACACACATATATATATATATTTATATATATGTATATACGCGTGTTATATTTTCATCATGTACATCTGTGTATCTTTCTTCCTCTTCACAGGCTAGAGCTCCTTTTATGAAATAGTAAAATCAAGATTGCAGAGAGGTAATTCATAATTAGGTGCATGCGTGTTTTCCGCACATACAGAAATAAATATCTTGCTTATCTCGCGCTCTTTTTAACTGTCGGATGCTGCGCACGAGAACCAAAAAAAAAAAAAAAAATGGTGAGAGCGGCGATACACAAATAAGTCACGTATAGCGTTTTTCTCGTTGAGAGAAGTGTATTTACACACGGAAAAGTCGTTTTATAGAAGTATATATACATATATATCGACTCCACATCTGATTAATTATACAACTTGTCAGTCGCGTCTGTCAAGCGTAATACTTACGTTATTTCAGTCCGTTACGTGCGCGGCTAAATACAAATGTGAGATACGAATGTGAGATTGTAATCGCTGGTTGTGTCATTACATATTCTATATACTATTTTTATATGTATAACGGTACGTGAGGATTTTTTATTTTTTTATTTTTTATCGGTTTTTTAAGTGATTTTAAAAGCAATATTTAATAAATACATGCGGGTTTTTTTTTTTTCTTTCTCTCTCTGCACGTACAGATATTCCCTTGTTAGGTTTTTTCTTCAATAATGTCTTTTTACGGATAGAAGAGACAATAATACGCATTTACGTAACGAAGCACTTGGACGCGAGTAAACGTTGATAAACGATTTACCAGGGTGGGAAAAGGTTTTGCAGAAAAATCCCAACGCGGTGTCGCAAGGTTTTTTTTTTTTAATATATAAATATATAAATTTACTGAAAAGAAGAAACATACGTTCCTGTAGTGTTATGCTGTATTCTCTCATTTAAATATATATATACAATTATATATATATATATATTTCTTATATACCGTAAGAGTCGTAATGTATAAGCTGGTTAGAATTGGTGAATAAAACAGATAATATATATGTAACAATACCTTATATTATTTCCGCGATTATTCCAATTCATCTCTCTCTCTCTCTCTCTCTCTATGAATTTCCAGTCACATTAAAATACTAGTGCGTCATCGCGTTGTTCAGGTTTTAGGCATAATGTACATACACGTACACATCTCTCTACTTACTGTTGGAGCGCATAAACTAAAGTGATTAATTGGCCATTATCATTTAAGCTACTTCACTTTGATGAATTGAATAAAGCGTGATTAAGTTTTAAACACATTTCTGCATCGGTTGATTGAATAATAATCGCGTTCGATATTCGACGATAATTAGCGTATTCATCTTTTGAGTCTATATCGGTCCGCTCCAAATGCGGAATGAACCAACAGACATCGTAGGACAAATCTATCGAGAAAGTCATGACCGATATATCTCATCTCTCGTAGTTATTTGTATAATTGCTAAACGCGAGTAACGCATGCATACAATAACAATTACCTTGGTTTTTTTACGCTGCTCGATTATTTATTTTTATTTTTCACTCCGTAATGTGTGACAAGGTGCGAGACCGGACGAAATCCGCCTGCGATCGAAACGCCATCACGTGACCGACTCGCTTTGAACGCAACTTTACACCAAACCCGTCGGAAACAAGAGTTTCTCTTCATGTAAGATTTGCTGTTATCACGATTACATTCTGTTCAATGAGAGAATATCCTCGGTCTGCGCACAGGAAAAGAAAAGCGAGCAAAAAGAGGATAGCGCGCGGTACACAGCCAATGGCTGTGAAGTGAGAGAATTTTCTGGTAGGGGATATATGCACGCAAACGGACGAGTTTTCGAGCTCCTGGGATATTCTCTCATTGAACAAATTTAGAAGCCGTCAATATCCATTCTTTCGTGTAAATCCGAAAACATACGAAGAATCTTGAGCGCTAAAGCCCGTTCTACATTGACCGCAAGCGCAAACGCAAGATATAGATCTCGTAGAATTGACCAATCACGCTGGTCAATTGGCCGATTTGATCAATACGATTAGTCGATTCTACCAGACCTGTTCCTTGCGTTTGCGCTTGCGATCAATGTAGAACAGGCTTAAGAGACATATAATACCGTTTTTCGATCGGTACGGGTTCAATTAAAGCGTTTAATAATTTGGCAAATAAACCAATTATATTGAATTACCGAACGATCGCTTCAATGTGATTAAATCTGTATCGTTTAAAAAAACGCTATTAATTAAGCATTAAGCATATCAACCAATCATAGGCCATCAATCTTTTAAACTTAGCTTACATTTGAGATGAATGCTTGCCTGTGATTGGTTGATTTTCTTAATGGCGTCTGTGTGTAAAATGCGTCACGCGTAACAAGAAACAACGCGGTAGCCAATCAGCGATTTGCTCTCACGGAAAAGCAGCATATCGATTGGGTCTGCGAGCGCAATAACAAATCAAAAGTCTGTTCATTTCAATTACACCTTATGCACTTTTTTAAAATTTAAATTAAATACACGTATATGTATCTATGTATATATATGTATTTCATGTCAAAAAGAAAAAGAAGTGCAAGTGCAGGAAGTGCAAGTAAACCAAATCCAAGAGGAATGTATTTTTTTGCGTCAATGATCTAAAGGCGCAAAAATGATCAAACTACGGAGACAAGACATAACACATGTATACAAACGGTGAGGTGAGAGAGCCTTTGTTGCTGAGTTTTACTGTCACTTTTTCGACACAATTAGTGTATGTATGCGCGACAGTAATTTTGAAGATGCATTTATGGAAACATAAACGTGTGTTGTTGTACATTAAAATAAGAATAATAAATTCGCAAAGCGATAATTGTCAGTAATTATCGACTCTTGTCGATGGCACGAACTTGACGACCGCTAAATATAACAATTAGCGGCTATAAATATAAAACACACACACACGGGTCTAATGTGCAACAGTATACAGGAAATCAATCGTGAAAATCGCCGATCGTTCTCAGTCTTCCGTCTGGGCGACGTCATGCGATTTCTTGATTACATACAACTTGTTTAATGAGTTACGAGTGTTGCAAGTAAGTGGCAAAATTTTCTCACATTTATATTATGTAGAATTTGAATTGGTTGTATAAAAATAAGGTCACACAAATTAGTTTTTCGAAAAAGTATTACTCTCTTTGTGTCTGTTTCTTTCATGGTTTACTTGGAACTTGACTTTTGAAGTTCATATTTTTCTGTTTTAGATTTGTGTCATGTTTCTTTGACACATGTTATTCTTTTTTTTGCAGATATGCCGGAGCAGGTGGAATTGCAACAGTTAGTTGACGCCGACGTGGAGAATAACACGGCAAATCGTAAGAGAAAATTATCGTCTCTATTGTGTAAATCGTGCCCTTATTTGGGTCTGCTGTTAGCCACACTATCGTCCCTGTTCTTCTCATTATGTAGCGTAATTGTTAAGAGTCTGGTAGAGATAAATCCCACGGAAATGGCGATATTTAGATTTGTGGGTGTGTTGCTGCCAGCAATACCGATTGTGATTTACAAGGGCGAACACCCGTTTCCGAAGGGGCGTAGGTTAATACTTATTTTGAGGAGTTTCATTGGCACAACCGGTCTTATGTTGAGTTTCTATGCGTTCAGACATATGCCGTTGGCTGATGCCTCCGTTATTGTATTCTCCGTTCCTGTGTTTGTAGCAATATTCGCGCGGATATTTCTGAAGGAGCCCTGCGGTCTGTTTAACGTTATCACCGTGTGTCTTACGCTAATCGGCGTGGTACTGATAACGCGACCGCCACTGATTTTCGGCAACATGGTAGAATCTCTTTCAGACGGTCACAACAAGTCGGAGCACGTGGATTTGTGGGGTGCCGTGGCTGCTTTTTCGGCCACTTTGTTCGGAGCGAACGCGTATGTCTTGCTACGCGCGTTAAAGGGTCTCCATTTCTCCGTTATAATGACTAACTTTGGTTCGTTTGCCCTGATACAAACTACGCTTATATCGTGGGCTATCGGCGCTTTGTGTTTGCCACGCTGTGGCACAGACAGACTTTTGGTAGTTGCGCTTGCTTTGTTCAGTTTCGCGGGTCAGATCTTATTGACATTGGCGCTTCAGATGGAGCAAGCCGGTCCGGTGGCCATAGCGAGATCCACGGACATCGTCTTCGCGTTCTTCTGGCAGGTGCTATTCTTTAACGAAATACCGAACCGATACTCCGTGGGGGGCGCTATATTGGTCACAAGTTCAGTTTTGTTAACGGGATTGAGAAAGTGGGCTATCTCGTTGCCCGAAACATCCAACATCAAAAAATCTCTTGGGATCTTAACGTAAATATCTTTTTTTTTTTTCATATAGAGAGAAACAAAGTAAAGAGAGACTAATTAGAATAAATTTACTAAAAAGTGAATAAAAAAAAATGTGCTGAAGAAGCAATTTGTGGATGTTACTAGAAATAATTTTAAATTGTCTTTCAGAATTTGTGAAAGATTTAGATACATATACACGTACGTACACATATTATGTACGTGTATATAAAATATATATCTCAACAAATCTTTTTATATTATTTATTGATAGGAGAATAAGAAAAGCAAAGTAAAGAAATTGTTCAGTCTGCATATCATATTTTTGAATTTTTCGAAATTTAAAAAACTACGTTATATAATATAGTAAGTTTTTATATTATATGTTAAATAAGTTTTTAAAATTGTCGATGACTATATCGCATCCACCAAATATTTTTACATAGACAAAATTCATAAGTTGCCTGATAAGAGACTATCAGTAATAGAGCGATTACGTCAATAATTTTAATACGTTATAAAAATAGACAAAAAGATATGTTTATATTTAAGATGTTATTTAATCTCTTTTGTTACTTACATATTCACAAAATTTTATCAAACAACACAAATAATATATATAAATAATATATAAATTTATAATTACATAATCGAAAGTTTGGAATGTATTTAGAATGTATTGTTTATTTCTGTTATTATACAGAAAAAGAAAGATAGAAAAAGAAAAAACAACATAATATTGTATATATATAATTATATGTATATATACATATATGTATAGGATATATATGTGTATATATATATGTATATTTTCTTTTTAAAATTGAAAGTATTTAAAGTTACTCATTTACTTCTAGTCTAAAAGTCAGTATTATTTACAACTGAATATTTGCAATATATTGTATTGCGATATGCTTTAGTCATCGCATTACGCTGAACACAATCTGTAATCGAAGAGAGAAGAATTAAGTTTTAAATAAAAAATACAAAATATATATTTACAAATTGAAACATTAATTCAATCTTTTATCGTAATATATAAATATAAAGATATATTTTAATCATACATAAAATAATGTGGCTGCTAGTTTAGTTTCTATGAATTATTATTATTTGTTCGATTATATTATACAGCTACGCGCACAATAAAATCGCTCGGTCTCAATTTCCTAAATATAATAGTAATAGTGTAATAGTTTACACTTCTTGTGTAAACGCGCGCACTTCTATTTTTACATTTACGTATTGAAGTTACAAATAAAGAGTGTGTTTATTTTTAATGTGAATGACGATTTTATACACATAAAGAGTTACCATACGCATACTTTACCCTTTTTTTATTTCCATTTGTGCGTGCGCGTGATACGTGTGATATCGTTTTACGATTGCTTATTTATTAAGGTCACAATATATAGCAAAACAATCCTATAATAATAATTTTATTACTTCCAATGTGAATTCTCTAGTGAATCATCAGAATTTTTTCTGAAAAACTATACTACCAACAGAGTTCACTTACGTGAACAAAACTTGCAGCAATATTTCGCGTAATAAAATATAAAAGTATAGATACTAATAAAAATGTATATTCACCCACGTACTGCAGAAAATGCATAAGTCGTACTTATGTGTGTTCTAGAAGATAAATTAATATTTAGCGTCACCTCTTTTACATATTCTTGTATAAACTTTTCTTCTGAGTTTATATATACACACAAGGTTTCTTATATTCGCACAAAACCGCGTCTATACGTTTGTATTTATATATACAAGAAGCATATGTAAGAGCTATTTCAGTGCCTTATTATATTATATCGTCCCTAGAAAAATACTTTTTTTCATGAAAAGAAAGACTTATGCTATTTCTGCATTCATATCCATATATAGGAATATATGGTATCTCGAAGAAAATTTATATTTGTGCAATGTGCAAGTAAAAATTTTATCTTTTCATAAACGCGTAGTTAGATAATAATATGGGAAATTAGGTGTGACGCATGTAATATAGATAATAATGCTTACAGAAGTAGGCACACAAATGCTAAATGAAAATAAACAGATTTTTAGGCGGTTTATTCTATATTATATATATCTCGACTGCGCATAAGATTATGAGACTATAAGTGTATAAGATTTATTTATATATAATTTGTACACACACACGTCTAGAATGAAACGGCCAATTTTTCACGGGGTTTTGATTGAAATGGACGGACGTTTTTCTTTTCTCAGAATAAGATATATATGTCGTGTGATGTGAATAATGGGTTTAGATGCGATCTCTATTATATATAGACGTAGTAACGTTCAGAGATGAATAAACGATATAAGAGATAAAATATATATTTTACATAATGTTATAGCAAACGAACTGAAGAAGAGATCGTAGAGTAGCAAGAGTTCCAAGCCACACAATGATGTGAGACTGCAAGTTTATATTTATTTATTTAAAAGTTGAATTATATATATGTTTCGGAACAAGAGAGAGAGGAGGTTGCATTTGTTAAAAAACAGCACGTATAAAATTGTAAGTTGTAAACATCAGCTTTTGCCTATAGAATTTACTTATACAATTACATTGTTGTTCCAAAGCTTTCAGAGCGTATTTAGCTAACACTGTACTGTAGACTTAATATCGGCAAGAAGCTTAATAGTAAATAAATATATATATATATATATTTACTAGTATTAGTATTTAATAGTAAATATATATATATATATATATTTACTATTAAATATATATATATGAAACAAAAGATTTTTATATTTCATAAAAATTAATGTAACTGAGTGTAAATCTTTGAAACTGATATAAACTTCCAGTTTATCATGTATATCATGCATGTATAACACACTGTAACTCTTTCGAAGAAAACAACTTTATAAAAAAGTGAACACCAGGAATGAATTTTAGCAGAAATCACTACGCGCTTTACTTATGTAACTACGATATACTAGTAATGAGAGATATTGTAAGAAAATAAAACAGATGAAAACACTTTTTTGCTTGTTGTTATAATTATGCGACTTCCACAAAGAGAAATAATACGAGTATTGTTACTTTAGGCCAACGTTTATTTAAACAGTTTTTTTTATAATACAATAATACAATATATTACACAATTTTTTAACTATATTGTTTTCACATAACATTATAAATTTATGCACTATTACATATCGTGCTCTTAGTTTTGTTCCTTTTTTGAAAGAGAAAAATTATATAACGTAAAACATAATCTTTGTTTCATTAGGCTCATAATGAATTTGGTATTTTTTCGTTTTCATTTCTTAGAAAATGCAATTTTTTTAATTTTTAATTTTTTTAAAACGTATATATGTATTGTGCATTTACAGTAACGTATAAGATTACTTTAATATCACAATTCAAATAATTTGATGTGTGTGCTAATTAATGAAACGTTCCAAATTTAAATGTATATAATAAAACCTTTTTTTTTTTTTTCAAGCTGAGATGTTTCAGCGTAACATTTATATTTTAACACGTGCACCGCGCGTGTTATGTGAACACTTATGTTAAATATAAATTACTTATTTCGCTTTCATATCTTTGTATATAATTTAATTTATTCAAAAACAAAAAAAGTTTTGGCAAGTAGTCAATGACACGATTGTTTTACCGCGTACTTAAATATATAGTAAATGTATACAAAGCATCTAAAACTCTTACAGTAAGCAATAAACTTTCAAAAAGAGAAAACTATAACAATGCCATTTTTGCCAAAAGAAATATAAATAACACATTAACATTCTCGTATCGTATACTAGACTCGTAACACAATTTAAGTAAGGTCAAGTAAGTTTAGAAGAAAAAATATATATTATCTGTACTTGAAAACACGATGCTATATCTTATTTAGTTATTTTAAATTGTTTAACAGATAAATATCTAAAATCACGAAACAAAAGCATTAAGTACATCTACATAAACTGTAACATATAAACATATAGATGTATATCGATAACAATTATATTTAAAAACTTTGCGCGCATATTTGTTTTTTGTTTTTATAACTAATTAATAATACATTATCTCTAACTTTTATTACAACATATTGATACATATGTCGGACTAAGCTGTTGCTACTAAATTGCTACTTATTAAAGTATATCTTTGAAATTTGTAACACGGCAATTGTACGGACTTGGCAATCGTAAAATCAAAGTACATAAGACTAATGATAATCATATATAAATTAAGTTTTAATGTATATATAATATTAAAAATATATGTATGCATATGATGATATACTTATTTTTATAAATGTATTTTACAAGACAGGGGAGAGAGAATTGTAAAAATATTGTCTCGTTGTGCTGAACATTTGTTTAGTTTAATTTTGTTGTTAAAAATATGCTTCGGACATTTGTCTTAATAAAACTTCGTCATTTTTTATACATGTATATATATATATATATATATAATTTCCAAGGACACTAATTAAGACTACAATGTAAATTTGTTTTTCAATATATTGCGTTGGTTCCTTAAAATACATGCTAAACCAGCATCTAACGGTTTCGCATTTTTTAAATTGCGCTTTTTGGAGCAAGGATTACAATTAATTTTTCTTTTTTTTTTTTTTTTTTTTTACAAACTATGATATTATCACATTACTAGCGTATTCCAAAACCCTGTCGAAAGAGAAAAGTAAATGAAAGATATCCTACTCTAAAATTTTTTTCTTTCTCTATTGGTAAGGAACATTTTGAACTATTCTACATGTATCTAAAGCCTGTCAAACACATTTCGGAGAACATTCTACTACAATTTTTGGTGTTCGAACTTACACGTTAAAATTTAAACTCAATATCGTCTGTAAGAGACATAATTGCATGCTCCTGCGTGATTGCCGCGAGCTCTTTAAGCCATTCGTCTAATATAACAGCGCATAGAACAACATTCTGCTCCGGACTTACTTCATTCGGCGATTCCCATGACGTTTTTCTGTACCTGTTGAAAAGAAACGTTTGAAATTTTACTCAACAAGCGCGAGATATCCGAGGAGAAGCGTCATTAAAAAAAAAATGACTTACCTATATCCAGATCTAACTTCTTGCAGTTGATCTTCCGATATACTGGACGGTTGATTGTTGGAACTCGGTAAACTGCTCGGACCGAAGCCGACTCCCGTTCGTTTGAAGATTTGTGTAAACGACAGTGTCAAACTTTTTCTTCTTGCTTCTCCTGAAAATAAACCAAGAGTGTAGCAGTTTAAAATTTCTATTTCTATTTATATATATATATATCTCGTATGGTTTGTTAGAATATATTCTCTATTCGATACATACGTCTTTTGAATACTTCCGACATGCATGGTACAAATATTCAGAGAAGATGTAATTTTAATATAACCTTACACGGTATATATACACACAAAGCAGAAGTAACAGAATGATCAAGAGAGACAGAAAAACAATGCAAATATTCTTGAATAATAAAGCACGTTTGCTTAGCTAAAGTTCATAAAATAGATGATACCTATTGCAAACGATTCACCCGCCAGCGAATGCTTTTGGCGGGTAACGGATGAAGATTGAGCGGCGGCTTCTATCGCATTTTTTCTTGCGTTTACCAGCTTGTCTTCTCGACTGATTAAAAACGACCTAGCTTGTTCGACCAACAACTCCACGTTATTATGCTTCGAAAGAAATTGATCTATTTTGTGCTTCAATGACGCAAGTACCTGCAAAATACAAAAACGTTACTTTAATTTAGAGTCCACTTGACTTTCTATAATAATAACATTGTTTCAATAGTTTTATATCGTTCGGAACTGCAGTTCGAATACACAATGAATATTTACCTGGAATAGAGATCTGATGCTAGGTTGAAACACAAGAGAATGGTTGAGCAGAAAAGATTGCAGCAAAGGTTGCGGATATATTGCGAGTCTACTGATAAGGCCGGTGAGATGTAAATTGACATACAAGTTATTGCTCGTCATGCACTCGAGTTTTCGCAGAACCACGTCCAAAAATGTGCCGACGTTCGGCTGGCCGTTGAACGCGTCTTGTCGACACGAGGCATCCTTTGATTTGTTCGATAACGTTTCCTCCACAATCGTCGGAGCGCTCAGATCCGCGATTCCATTCGACTCGTCGCTGATTTCTTTCTTAATGGTAACGTCCATTTCTTCGTGTTCGTCGTGCTCGCTTATACGATCTTCGTTTATCTCGTTGTCGGGTGTTGATTCGGGCGTTGACTCGGGCGATCCTTTGAACGCGTAACTCTCGTATCCGCTGCTCTCTCCTAGCGACATGAGCGAATTCATCGCGGTTGTCGACTCGTCTATACAACTGTCGGGTTCTTTTTTATCAAAACAAGTTTCTTCCGTACACCTCGATGTCACTCCGATGTCCTCGTTCAACAGTTCCGCGATGTCGGCGTCTAATTTCGCCTGTTCCTCGAGGGACAGCGCGACCGTGGCAGTCAACTCGTTTTTACTATTGTGTTCATTGCTGTTCAAATCTTTGCCCTCCAACAAAGACTGAATATTGAGCAGTACATTGTCGATTGCGGTGTCTTGATCGTTTTCGCGCGAACTCGTTGAAGTTTTGAGCGTTTCCAACGGCGACGTTCTCGATTCTTCTGTTCTTTTCTGCGACTGATCGGACGTATTTTCGTCTATCAGTGTGTTCGCGCTGCTGGCGTTACTGTTTCGCGGCAAACTGCCGTCGTAACGACAGGACCAATTGGAACACGCGATACGACAGGCTTTGATTTTCTGCCTCGCGTCACGGAGATACGCGTGATAATTTCCGTACAAACTGTCCAGCAATTTAGAGCCGTGATTCACCGTCACCGGTAACGATCTCATTGAATCGGACGAGGTGTATGAGGATTTGTCGTATGTACAAGCGCTCGGTAAAGAGTTTGTTTGAGAGTCTAATGACGACGACGACGACGACGACGACGACGATGCGAACGTGGAACAGCAACGCGGAGTCAGAGATAGAAACTTCTCCGCTGCTCGTCCGAAAGGATCCACGTCTCTCAGCCGACTACGTTGAGATAGCATCACATGCGAGCACGGATTCAAAGCGCCCAGACAAAGCTCCAACATGACGTCCTCGCAGTTCAAGTTCACCAGAGTTTCGAACAACGCCAGAGTGACTAAACACAACTGAAACGAAAAAAAAAAAAAAGAAAAAATACATAAGAAACAAGTTGCGTTAGAAAAATGTTTGATCGAACTGAGTTTCTCTAATTTACCCTTGAGCGAGAGGATATCCTTTTTATCAGACTATCCAGTATCCTGGAGTCGTCATAATTATCTTCTAATAAAAACCTAACGAGCGACCGCAACAAGCCAGGTTCGGTCACTGATCGGAGAAACAAATCAAAATAAGCCGTTGCTGCGACTAATTCTTCTAAGGTCGTCTGTAAAATGTATTTTCAAATGCTTATAAAAACATTAAGAACGTTTGATAAAATGTAAACAAGATCGCATGCTTTTTTTATTGACACATTTGTTTTTAACAATTACCATCGATATATATGTGAGATGATGTAATGATTAGTAATTAGTAAAAACATTACTTTGTCATGTAACGTAACATTATCTTGACAAAGAAATATGTTGAAAAGAAAAAGAAAAAAAAGTAATTTTTACAGAAATATTAAATTTTTAATTGTTGTTTATTTCAAAATTACACACACGTGTTATAAGGTTTTTTATGTGGCAAAAGAAGGGTATGAAACATTTGTATATTTAAAATAATAAGAGAGAGAGAGAGAGAGAGAGAGAAAGAGAGAAAGAAGGAAAGAGAGAATTGAAACAAATGCATGTAAAATATTTCGTCATAGTATTAAACAATAAATGTTCACCCTTCCTTATAAGCTATCGAGCATGCGTCAGTTTCACGAAAAGTCGAACAACGGACAATTCTTACTCTCTCGCGAAACCGATTTATTGCTCAATAGCGCGTAGCGCTATAATACGTACATTGATTTTATAAAACTAAAACTCTCAGATATGTTGAGCTGATATTTGTAATGATAATAGAGATATTAATACAAAAATAGTTATCAGCTTATCTAGCATGAAAATACAAAGAGATAATAACGAAATAAGAAGCTGTATAAAAACGTCACACATAAATAATATATGTATAAAATTGCAAAAAAAGCGGAAAACTATATAATTGCGATAAGCGAAGCAACAATAGCGCTATGTGTTTTATGAATTATTTATTATGAAAGAGTGTGCGTTGCGTGAATTGTAAACCACGTTCGTTTAAACATTGATCTTATCTATCATCTTCTTTATTGATCAGTATTTCTTTTATCTTAGAATAGATAACACATTGTTTGTTTGTTTGATAAGAGATTAAACTACACTTATGGTTTATAATTCAAAAGTTATTTTATAAATATGAAAAGTAAATATGATATAGCTATAAGTATCAGTATTTCAGTAAATACTTGCGGTATATTGTTTTAGACAGTTTTATATTGTTCTTTCATAAAAAAATTGTAACGCTGTAATAAAATTAAAATAATTATGTTAAAATTATTATTTTAAAAATTTTCTTTTTGTACACTGAAATCAAATAAATGAGAACTATAAGATATTCGTGCCATCAATTTCGAAAGTTAGACAAATAAAACTTATTTAAGAAATTATTGACAAGTACATTGAATATCAATTATCGCTATGCGTGTCAAGCATCGACTGAAATACTATACTACGAAAAGTGACAGTTTTGTACTAACCCAATGTTGTTGCGCATCTAGCTGTTCTACGGTCAAGCCAAGAGAATCCTATGAGCATCATAAAAATATCACCAGATAGAGAAAGACACCAGCAACACCATAAAACGTCAATAATTTTGTATTAGCTTTGATATCATTGTGCGCTTTAGCTCTCTACCATCACCACATTGATCAATTTGCACATTTCGATAACATAAAATGCAATTTACACACAATAAGATTGTTCAATTAAAAGCAATAAAAGTGCATGTTTTTTTTTCTCTTTTTTTGTGCAAGAAGATTTAAGATTTATTTGATCTGTGCAGAAGTTATGAAAAACGCAATTTCACTAAGAATCCGGCAACGTCTAATGACGAAGTTCATCAAAATCATGAATGAAAACAATGTACATTGAGATAAAAATATTCAGTAAATGTGTCACGTTTTCGCATATCTTGTGTTATTTATACACATAATCTAACATATAAATATATATTTATATACACTATTAATACCTTCTTTCACCACATGCAATGAGGCAAACTATAGAGTAACGTCTGTTATAAATAAACAAGTTAACTTGCGCTTGTGACATCAATCAATCTCGAAGTATGAGAAAATCTTGTATCACATAGGCTGTGTTCCAAAATTCACTACTAAAAATATATATGTTATGTGAACGTATAGATTTTTAGTACTGCTGGCAGTGTAAATTTTTGGAACATAGCCACGATAAAAGCCTTATATCATGGATATATTCGAGAATTTCCGCGCGTGTTGTGTTAAATACCTGTAACAAAGCAGGACCCATAACAGGCACCAGAAAACCTTGGTGTAAAAATTCAAGCAACTTTTTCTGCACCATTGGATGCGCCACTTGTGCAATCGCGTTGCAGAATTCCAGCAAATTCACAAATTGCGTGAGTGCTGGCAGGTCGTTCACATCGTCCGGCGTCAATTGATGCCAATCGTCAGTCTCAATATCGAGTTTTCTTGGAAGAGCAGAATAAAATGCGCTCAAACTATAAGCTAGTACCTGTAGTGCAAAATAGTTTACATTATTTTCCATGCGCTTGTTGTTTTTTTACCCCAGTCTCACTTCGACAGAAATTACTTACAGAACATATGTCGGAATGCTCAGCAATGTACGATCCCACTTCGTCGTTTTTCTTTGACAGCGACATGCACAACAACATAGCGTCACGTGCTGGCTGGCAAATGCTTTCTTTGTGAACACGATATATCAATAAGTTGAATATGATGAATCTGAAATCACATCGGCCCTTTCAGTAAGAATTACATACAATTCTTGTACTCTCAACACGTGTAATTGAACAAATGAGCTATTAACTTGTTTTTCCCAATTGCATTTGGCTGGAAGAACAGGTCGAGCAACGCCATATTTTGCATCAATGCGACGCACAGCTGATTCAATAGCACTACTAATTTCTGTTCCACTTCTGGTGGCATAATGTCATTTGTGCAATCTTCCAGTAACCTTAGAAGCGGCCTTGTCACAGGTTCGTGTGCGAGAAGAGTACCACTGTGCGAAACCAATAGCTCGTAAAGCTTTATCTGTTGCAATCTCACAGCATTATTGAATCTGCAAGAGATGTTGTTCGTCTTTACAATATGCCAATTAGGAGTGCGTGGAAACTTGTAGTGTCACATATTAAAACTACAAATACAAGTACCTTCCTGTGTGTACACTCCAATCGTATAACTTAACAAGTAAATTTTCACTCAATAAATATTCCAAGCACGGTGAATGTGTCGCGGCATTGGTCTGCTGTCGGTAGTGATGCGACGTCGAGTCTCGCAACTCCAGCATCAGCAGCGTTACTATTTGCTCGATATGATTGACAACTCCCAGCACGTCGTCTTGACTAGGCAACCCTTTAGGAGGCTGAAAAAAAAAAACCAGACAATTCTCTGACAATTCCATTGTCTCACTATTATAAAACTACTTTCGACGTAACAAATCGTGTCGCAAAACGTTACTAATAAATTAGACTCGATGTTGACACTGTTCTACTGTTCTGTATTGAAATTAAAAAAAAAAAAAAAAAAAAAAAAAAAAAAACCCTAAAAAAAAAAAAAAAAAAAAAAGCTGATTGTCTCACTATTATAAAACTACTTTCGACGTAACAAATCGTGTCGCAAAACGTTACTAATAAATTAGACTCGATGTTGACACTGTTCTACTGTTCTGTATTGAAATTAAAAAAAAAAAAAAAAAAAAAAAAATAAACATCCTTACGAAAGAATGCACGATAATCTCGTAAGTTTGCTGCCAGTGTTTGCAGAAGCTGTCGTAACACGCGGACGGATCGGCATCTTTTGGGGGCGAGTCTCTGGACCGCGGCTTGCTGAAGCTCGTTCGTATCGGATTGTTTCTTAACAGCCAACTCATTGTTTTTGTTTTTCTTTTTTTACAATGTGCGTGTTTTTACAGCGGCACGGCCAGTGTTGCGATATCACATTCCAAAAAAGTCTCGCCGATTCTCGCTTGTTTCGATATATATTCGAATACTTCGATATCGCGTAGCCACTTGTCGCCGGGATTATGTCCATTTGACGATGTCGATCAGCTGCGGAAACAGCGACGACGACCGTGCGACAACGCGAATCGCATGTCGCAAACAGAATGACGAGTTCACTGGGTCCGACTGTGCGTGTACGTTAACAGGTACTACGTGTGCGCGATAAAACGTACTAATCATCGATGACAGATAATGTCAGTTAAGTTCCTCGTGTCGCGAACACGTCGCATTTAATTGCTCGTCATTAATTCGCGATCCGCCACTCGACCGCCAGTTTTTTTTTTCGTGTTGACGTGTTTTCCTCATTTACATGTATCACATATGATTACAATCCGAAGGTGCTTGGATGTTCCGCACTACTTTTGCGGAATCGGTGCGATTCCTTAGGGCTTGTGCTCGCAACGCTATGACAAAAATGGCTGGAAACTTGTCCGGGAACTTGAACGAAGGAATTGGCCAATCGCTGTCCAGGACGACGAATACCTGACACGTGTGAACGCGAGATGACAAGCGCGTGTCGAGTAACTTTCGAACTTCCGTGATTATTTTGAAAAGATGAAAAACGTAAACGTAAATGCCGCTAACGATGTTTTTTTTCGATTCTCCACGTGACGATTTTTTTTTTTTTTTAATAACAAATGGACAAACGTTGCGGCGAACTTTCTTTCGCGACACGGTGAACTTTTCCGCCACTTGGTCAACGGAGATGCTCTTAATCTCCATTACAGTACGGAGAATATCGTAAACCGTATGGCAGTTTCGCGTTTTGTGTACAAAGTCAAAGGTCATAGACAAGTAAACATTGCCAATGGTCGTATCACGTTAAATCGAGTATACCGGTGAACATTGATGATAAACGAGTGGCGGCGACTCGTATCAGGTATCACGATAAGATCCTTAAAGTGGACGTATTCGCGTGCATTTTCCATCATGGACAAGATAGAGGATGTTAACATCGATACGGGAACTTTTAAGTACGTGTTGTGCCAGATTTTCGAGAGCAAATCGGACGACAACTCAAAGCACGTTGTCAGAGGCGACGGGAAATGCGAATATCATCAAGACGTGTGGAACAAATTGAAGAGACTCCTGCGCGAACACAATCTGCGCGGCAAGTGCGTGGGCGGCGGAAGGATGGAGCACGACCCCGACAAGAAAGTCATCAAAGTCTACGGATACTCGTACCAATACGGCAGAGCTAATCACGAACTGACGGTCGAGATACTGCAGAAAAAGTATCCCGATTACAACGTCACATGGACGGACGAAGGTTATTAATTGTCAGGCGCATGTAAACAAAATAAAAAAAAAAATTAAAAAAAAAAAAAAAAACCATTATGATATTACTGGTATTTATGATAAACTAGTATTTATGATATTGCTGGTATTTATAATAAACATAAGCATATTTATAATGTAACGTTGTTGATCGTTAATTAATCCTAATAATAAATGTCCCCCCCCCCCCCGGTAATGATCTCTGTAAAGTTTTTAAGATCTCGGTTTGACTTGATGTGCTGATTTATCTCGAGGGAATTGACCAATCGCGTTAATTGTTTAGCAGAATTGACCAATCATGATACTCAGCCGATTAGCTGGATCGGAGATTCATGAAATTGACTTATGTCAAGACTGTTTCCCAGTGGTCTCGATCTAGCCAATGGGGCAGCTTCACATGAGCATACGACACGTCGATAAAATTGTTTACTCCTCATATCTACGTTGATAACGTTAGACATAAATAAATATGGTTGCATTCGCAGGATAACGTGTGAGGTACGAGCGAACTCCTTCGCCAACCTAAAAAATTCAATATCAGAACATATAATATTTAAAAAAGTGAGTAAACTATATAATATATTTATTTTTTTGCAATTTTTTTTTTTTTTTTTTTTATTGTAACAGTCTTACGATGAATAATTAATAATTAAAGTAATGTGTTTAGATATACTTTGTGATTGTTATATAATAAAAAATTGATATATAGATTTATATAGAATTTATATTAACAATATTATATAGAATTTATATTAACAATTAATAAATATTTTTCAGAAAGAAAAAACATATACATCAAATTTGCTACACCAATGTGAAATGTATAAGTAAAATAACATGTTGTCAAGAGATGCACGTAACATTGATGGAAGCGTTGTAGCTTCCACAGTTGTGAACATGAATATTTTGAAACAAATGGAAAATGATCTTGATATGGATGAAAAAATTTCTATATTATTTTTGATGATGGAAGATTATAAAAATGAAGATTATATCTCTTTCATTATTAATCTCTTTCAAAAGTCAAAATTAGAAAACAATACTTATATGATTACAGATTTTGTAAAGACTTATCCAAAAGATTGGGAAGATAAACTTTTAGAGGCATTAAGTATTTTAAACAATCGAGAAGTGATAAGAAAATTAGGATTATCATTTGAGAACTTAGAACTGTCATATGTCCCAAAAGTAGGGATGTGTGTAAGAAATATAAATGTAATTGCAAAATGCTTATACAAAGTATGTGAATCTTTGAGTGAGGAAGAACAAAGACAATTATTAAACTGTGTTAAGTCTGAAATTTCTAATTACGAATCTGTGCTGGACAATGTAAATTATCTTGAGCTACACATCCTTTATTGGATAAAAATTGGATATATTAACATTACAAGTGTGTATTGTATAATTACCATATACTTTTAAAGAAGTATAACTTTACAGACAATTGAATTATTATATGAATTTTTATGTTGATTTCAGATAAAAAGTATAACATGGAAAAATTACTGAAACATTTGCACAAATTTAAAGACATTAAGTTAAAAAGTCTTTGTTTAGATTTGGAAAAAATGTCGCATCCTTCCCATGTTGTCGACACTCATAAAACTTTCAATACAAATAATAAGAATTGTCAATCACTTTCTTCTTTTGAAGAACCATCTGATACAGAAATACAATATAAAAAAAGAGTTCGGCCTATCAACAGCGGATTGTGTATTGTTATTAATCAGATACATTTTAGACATGAGGTATTAATGTAATGTGTATTAAATATTTAAAATCACAAAGAAGAAATTTTATATTATTCTACATTTTCTTTTATCGTTTAAGTATAAACCACGATTTGGTGCTGAAGCAGACTGTAACAATCTACGTGAAACATTGAAAGATTTTGGATTCAGAGTTGTGATATTCAGTGATTTAGTTGAAGAAGAAATGTTAGAGAAAATAAAGAATATTCCACAAGAATATGGTAATAAATACGATTGTTTGTTTCTCTGCATTTTAAGTCATGGATGTAAAGGTATGTTAAGCAGGTATTTTATTAAACTTAAATGTATACAAATTTATATAGATAGTTTTTTATACAGTTAAGTAGTGGTTACAATTAATAAACAATAAATAAGTTTATGTATACGTAGGTTTTTATTATAGGTAGCATAATATCAGCAGATGAGAAAGAAGTTCCATTGGAGGCAATTGAAAAAGCGGTTTGTTGCATCGAATTGAAAGATGTCATAAAAATTGTTATCATTCAAGCTTGCCAAGGGAATACACTTGGTAAATAAGCAGCACTTACACAAAAATTAGTTCAAAGTGTGATGTACGTAACTCGATTTTATTTACAGGGAGTAAAACTAAAGATTTGGTAAAAGATGGGAACGGAGTAATAGAATCTCCCGTATACATAAGCTCATTGGAAAATTTCTATATGTTTATGTCGACGATACAAGGTTTTGCATCAATACGTCATACCGAGCAAGGTATTATATAAATGACTAATATATTTAGACTTAAGCTACTTTTTCTCAAAAGTGGTACATAATAAAAAAGTTAAAAACAAATATTGTGTGGCAAAGACGCAATTTACTAATCTTTTTGTTTTCGTAATGTTTGATAATTAATTTATTTTTATCAGGTTCGTGGTTTATACAAGAAGTTTGTAAAACCCTTAGAACTCATGGAGATCAGCTTCCTTTCTCTGACTGCGTCAGAGAAATAATGAGATCCATGAGACACAAAAAAGGGATAATGGACGGAGTTCTGATCACTCAGTTGTCAGAGATACGCCAAGATCGTTTGCTGTCGGACTTTCAATTAAAAAGAGTATCTAATTTATCTTTGAAGTAACAATATCGTTTGTGCATTATATATCTGTATAATCCTCTTTTAAGTGGATTATATGTAAACGATTTTTATATTAGCTTTTAAACTAAAACCTTTTGTACTAACTTTTGACAAACTTTTTACGAGACAAATATTGCAATGCAATAAGTTTACACACAGTGAAAAAAATTCTGTACGTATAAGATATAACTCTCAAAGTAAAAATATTTTAACTAAATTTTAATCTGTCAATTTATGGATTTTGTTTATTCATATGTAATTTTATTTTCTTATTACATTTCTAAGTAGTTTATTTTACTACATATAATTTTTAAAATTATACATTTATTAAAAAACTATATTCTCTACACGAACAATATAGAAAAATATGTTGTGTGAACTGCTAGCTTGTGAATTTTGTTCGAGGATTGTGCAAAAAGAATGTCGTACGTGCTAATAATATTCAAGAAATGTGTTTGTATAAGATTATATACAATATGTGTTAAATAACTTTATATACTATATATATATATATATATATATA